AGGGAACCCCCCCCCCCCCCTGAAATTATGTCATTTTCTGAGGAAAGACACCCGAGGAAGATACCTTCTTCCCGCTCCATGCCTCTCACCCTAAAGAAGGACTAACCTTCCTTGCTCTATCTGTCGAAATGAGCAGCTACCTCGCGATTCAAGGGAAAAAAAAGTTCTCACCATTGGGTTGCAGAAGAGCTCCGTGTACTCCTTCTCCCGCTCGCCCACGTCTTTGCCTCTGAAGATAATCTCCACGGCCCCCTTCGCACCCATCACGGCCACTTCCCCCGACGGCCACCTTCGGTCCCCAGCACGGCGGTAGGGAATGCGCGGTAGGGATAAAGTCGACAAAAACGCCACAAGCGACAGCAAGAAACCTACCGTATGATATGCGACACAAGAAAACACACCCGGTGACAACAACAACAACAACAACAACAACAACAACAACGCTTGGCTTCTAAAACCATTGCCACCGGGTGTGGTATTGTGAGGGGTGTGGTTTCTTATGTCGCCTTATTGCTTGATCTGAGAGTGGTTTTTAGGTTTTGGGCTCAAGTCGGCCGGCAATAGTATCATACACCGGATGTGGTGTTGTGTATGGGGGTGTTCTCTTGTGGCGCATACGGTATGGTCCGTGGAAAGGCTGCCTTCTCTTCTGGGGCAGGGCTAGATGAGGCTACGGTTGGAGTTGGATGGGTTGTGGCCGAGCGCAGGGGTGCAGGGAAGTGTACTCACGCATAGTTCATGTCTCCTCTCAGGTGCTTCGAGCTCATGACGTCGTAGGCGCCGCCGTAAGCCTTGCGTGTGATTACCGTCAACTTCGGCACAGAAGCCTCCGCGAACGCGAACAGCAGCTGGCATTTGGGGATCGTGCGAAAGTGGGAGATGGCAAGTGCGGGCGGAGGGGTTGCAGTTGGAAAGGGGTTCAGGGAGGTGGTCGGAGGACGGCCGAATGTCTTCCCTTGCCCATGACAATAGCACGATAGCAGTCGACCACTGTAGAGTTAAGCTGGTGTGCCGGACGGATGAAAGGGTAGGGTAAGGAAAAGAAGCGAAAACTGCGTACACACACAAGCGAGTCCGATAACGTAGCAACGGTGCAATCAGCCAAACGCCGCCGAAGAAGTTGCACCCTCCGGGAGTCCTCTTGTATCTGGTTCTTCTCAGTACCACAGCTTGTGCTAGATAATGTGGCACATGACCATGGCGCAGCTGGCGAAGGAGGCACTGCTGTGTGCGTGTCTTATAGGGACGTACATCGTGCAAACACGCATGTCCACTGAGTAAGACGCGATCCGCCCATCGGTACAGGTTCCGACTATTCTATCGTCCTTAGAAAGTACTTTTTGTTGTGATAGACTTCGTTGCAGGCAAGGCTTATATATTGAGGTTGTGCACACAAAATTGGTGCCCGAAGACCCAAGCCCAAACGCAACACGTTTCCATGTGCACGATTCGGGCGATACACGCGCCGTTCGGACAGGCAGTCAATGCAATCTATGGTTGATAAGCACCCTCTGCTACACGTAAAATCACAACCAGCAAGGCCTGTGAATAAGAACATGACAACCTCTTTCTTCTAGCACCGTACCCCCACCTTGGACCCATGTCTGATAATGCCTCCGTGCTCTTGCGCAGTTCCCGGCAAGAACCCCGGCACGTCGACGAACGTCAGCAGAGGGATGTTGAACGCGTCGCAGAAGCGAACAAATCGAGCCGCCTGTTTTCGTTGCACCTCTGGGGTCAGTGCACTTTCTCCTCAAGAGAATCGTCGTTCATGCTCCAGTGCACCAGGAAGAGGGAGAATACGCATAGTTCGCCTACGTTTGGCACCATGCACCGAAATAACGATGATCAATAAATTGAATCCTATACCTATTTCGTGGGGGGGAACAACTCTTTTTTCTTGGGATGTATACAACACGTATTGTACACGACTCGGCCCGGTCGCCCAGATGGTCTAGTGGGTAGCCTCGCAGCCTGCTAAGGGCCAGGTCACCGGTTCGAGTCTCGACAGAGTTGTTCTCGCTAATTAAATCCTGGCCTAATAAGTTGGAAGTGACGCGCTGCACCGCTCGTTGTTAGTAAACTTGATCGACTTCATAAGTCGCGAGGAAAGGGATTGCTGTACCCTTCTCGCGATGAAAATATCTCAGGCAAGAACCGCAGGAGGGGGTCCAACCCCCCCTCCTATGTGACCCCGGTTGGGTCCTCAAGCTGGTAGAAGTGGAGGATAGGGCCAGAGGGGCAGACGACAGAGCCCAATGATGGGAGAAAAACAAACAAATAAACAAACAAAAGACTGAAGTTATCTCGGTTTCGAACAGACGGGAAACAGAAAATAGCACAAGCATCGAGAACATGAAATGGGAGGACTCCGACCATGAGAAAAAGGAAGGAGTGAGCGTGTCACCCCACTTTTATTAGGGTTAAGGCCAAACGCACGGTAGATGGTGTAAGAAAAAATGAGATACGAAAGCCGTCCACGATACCAATCTCGCAAACGGTACAGAATCATATAGACTATATCGAACACGACCAACAACAAGACAGCCGACCTTGACCGTAGCGATGACCTAGGCTTGGACTTGCCTTGGTGGAAGAGTCAATGTCGAGACAGCCGGCCAAGAACATCGGGTTGTTTGCCACGATTCCCACTGGATGTCCCTCCATCCGGGCAAAGCCCACAGTGATGTTCCTCGCCCAGTCCGGCATGATCTCGAAGTAAGTGTTATCGTCCACAACCTGCGGAAAAACGGTCCGCGTGTCCCACCACAAGTAGTCAACTTCCGTTCTCCAAATTCCGTTGCGACAGTTTACATCTTTGACTCGATCACGTCCTCAGCAGATGGAAGGCAGTTCTGCGGACCTGAAACATCGTAGGCCAAACATAGGCAGCCAGTTTTGCCCTGGACACGTAGTTGCAGGAAGGCTACTTCGTAGCCGCCTGCGGAGTCCAATTTCTTCGATAAAGCCTGTCTCGACTAAGTGTAGACGGTCCCGTCGTGTGCAAATTTGGAAAACAAGCATTGGCGAGAACAGGCAACAAATTCACAAGCATGCTCCGAAGAAAGAAAAATGGTGGCAATGGTGATGACTCCGGCTCTAGCCCATGAAGAGGCTAAAGGAGATATGGCACAAACAATGGATGGGACGAGAACGACTGGAATGTACGGTACTTGGGCTACTACTCTCCGGCATTTCACCTTTTCCTGAGGTATGGCAGGAGCTCTCCGTGTTCAGTAGAATCGATGTTGAAAAGGAGCTTGCTGTGAAGCCCGGAACCACGCGCCTTCATAACCATACATGTGTTGGCC